CAAAATCAACCAGATGAAGAAAATATTCAATCTTATCACATGTGACAACATGGCTGAACACTAAAGACCTTATGAAATAAGTCAGTCAGATCTTATAATTCCATGAGTTATCTGAGAGTATGTTTAGTGGGTATAGTTTCCTCTCTGCAAAATGAAAAAAGGTCTGGAGATCTGTAGTACAGCAGTATTAACATACCTAACACTACTGAACTGGTTTTCTTTTTTGCAACTTTATGTTTTAGATTTGTATAACAGAAAACATATGGTAGATAGTAAGTTGTCTGGAATTTGCTTCAAAATAATCTTAATGTTTAGGGGGCTGGGTAGAGTCACATGAAATAAGATCAGCTTCAGCTGAGACTCTTTAAAGCTATGACTGGTCATACCATTCTACTTGTATGTTTGGAATTTTCTATCACAAGAGAATTTTAAAAAGTATTATCAAATTGAAAATCAACAGAAGTGATACACAAGAAGTTGAGGAAATCTGCCAGAATGTGTAATAAAGGACTAAATGAAATACAGAATGGTAAGGGAAAGCCATGAATTTATTTTAATTTTAATTTTTTAAATTTTTGATGCTGGTTCTGGGGCTTGAACTCAAGGCCTGACCACTGTCTCTGAGCCTCTTTGCATTCAAGGCTAGCTCTCTACTACTTGGGCTACTGCATCACTTCCAGCTTTTTCTGATTAGTTTATTGGACTTGAGTCTCCCAGACTTTCCTGCCCAGGCTAGCTTTGAACTGCAATCCTCAGATCTCAGCTGCCTGAGTAGCAGGGTTATAGGTGTGCCACTAGCCCCTGCTGAAAGTCATGACATCAACAGCAGCCTCTGAAAGAGAAGTGATAAATGAAAGGCAGGACTTAAAATGATGAGATTAAAAAAAATCATGAGATACTTTTGTGTATGAGAAGCATGTCGTTGTATGCCTAGTATTGATTGGTGGGAATATAGTCATTTGAGGATTATCAGTTTGGTAGTTTTACTTAAGGTGAAAAATGCTCTTCCATGACTGAAAATTTCTTCTTTCAATACCCTAGGAAACTTAATAAATATGCACTTAGAAATTTCATTATTCTTAAATGACTTTTCTACTGTCAACCTAAACATAGCCTCATTTGCAATGCAATCAGATTTGGAAATTTAATTTCCAGAGTATTCCCTACAGATGTGAGAAAAGATATTATTAAAAGCATATTAACTGCCAGGCTCCATTGGCTCATGCCTGTAATTCTGGCTATTCAGGAGGCTAAGATCTGAGGATGCTAGTGGTTGGAAAGCCCATGAGACTCTCCTCAGTTAATCCCCAAAAGCCAAAGTAGAGCTGTGCTACCTTTAAACCAAAAAGCCAAAGGGATAGCATTTTAGCCCTGAATTCATACCACAGAATTGACACACAAAAAAAAAAAACAAAGAAAGGTGTTTTGAATATCAAAATACTCAGATAATATCTCTAGGTCCACGAAAAAGTATCTGGTCAAATAAAGGTACATTCACACAATGTAATATCCACTAAAAAACAATGAAGTAAGCTGGGCACTGGTGGCTCACGCCTGTAATCCTAGCTACTCAGGAGGCTGAGATCTGAGGATCGCGGTTCAAAGCCAGCCTGGGCAGGAGAGACCGTGAGACTATCTCCAATAAACCACCAGAAAACCGGAAGTGGCGCTGTGGCTCAAGTCCACAAGTGGTAGAGCGCTGGACTTGAGCTGAAGAGCTGAGGGACAGCGCCCAGGCCCAGAGTTCAAGCCCCACGACCGACAAAATAAATAAAAGAATGAAGTAGATCCATATGTATGGATATACAAAAACATCTCCGAGATGTACAATGATAAAAAAATATAAAATATATTCACAGTGAAGTATTTAGCCAGAGAAAACAATGAAACCTCATTTGCAGCAACATGGATGGAATTTGGTAACAATGTTAAAAAAGCCAAACAGACTCATGTGAAAGTTGACTTCATAAAAGCAGAGAATAGTGGTTGCTAGAGGTGAAGAGGGAAAGGATATAGATTGGATAACCTGTACCAAAAGTTTCATAGGAAGAATATATTCTAGCCGGGTGCCGGTGGCTCACGCCTATAATCCTAGCTATTCAGGAGGTTGAGATCTGAGGATCATGGTTCAAAGCCAGCCCAGGCAGGAAAGTCAGTGAGACTCTTATCTCCAATAAATCACTAGAAAACCAGAAGTGGAGCTGTGGCTCAAGCTGTAGAGCGCTCACCTTGAGCTGAAGAACGCAGAGACAACGCCCAAGCCCAGACTTCAAGCCCCACGACCAACCAAAAAAAAAAAAAAAGAATATATTCTATTGCTTTACAGCACAGTAGGGTGATGGTAGTGCACAATTTATCTTATAATAGAATTTAAAGGGTCACAACATAAAGAAACGGTAAATGTTTATACGTGGAATTACCACTGTACCCACAAATATATAATCAATTTGAATCCCTTTGATTTAAATTGGTTGTAGCTCCATGGTAGAACAATTGTCTAATATGCATGAAGTCCAAGGCTCCATCCAGGAGCATATACATGAATTGGCATATGAGCCTGTACACACACCCCTAAGGGTAAACAATCATTAAGAACCTCTGGGAATTGCTACAACAAATCCAAATATTGGGAAGCATTTTTGGGAGACCTCACTACTATAATTAGTGCTAAAAACAAATGAAACTTCAAAATGTTGCATTGCATGTGACTTTTTTTGAAGGAAAAAAAGAACCTATTATGCCTGCCCCAGCTGATTCAAATCTCAATTCTCAGCCTCTCGAGTAGCTGGGATTACAGGTAAGAGCCACAAGTACCCAGCAAGGCAGGTTTTGCTAAATAAGACACTAGTTATATTACAAGTTTTGAAAAATATACTATCAATATCTTTTGTGATTTAAGTTAATGAAGAGAACTGAAGCATGTAAAGTGAAAAAAAGACAAGTAAATCTTATGAATCAAATGTGTAAGATTTAGTTCTATGGTTCTGAGATTTTAATTTGCTATGGAAGTAAACTATACTGTCCCTAAAATAAAGGATTAAGATCCTATTTAAAGACAAAACAGCTTTTATAGTTTCTCTAGTTAGACTAGCATGATTAAATCTAACAGGTTAGGAAAGCCATGCCTCTGTAGTTTCATTTTCTTTTTTTTTTTTTTGCCAGTCCTGGAGCTTGAACTCAGGGCCTGTCCACTGTCGCTGAGTTTCTTTTGCTTAAGGCTAGCACTCTACCATTTGAGCCACAGCACCACTTTTAGCTTTTTCTGTTCATGTGGTACTGAGATCAAACCCAGGGCTTCATGCATGCTAGTCAAACACTCTATTGAGCCATATTCCCTACCAGTGCTGGAGCTTGAACTCAGGGCCTGGGCATTGTGCCTGAGTTTTTTTTGCTCAGGCTAGCACTGGCTTTTTCTGTTTATGTGGTCTTGAGGAATCAAACCCAGGGTCTCATGCATGCTAGGCAAGCACTCTACCACTGAGCCACATTCCCAGCCCTAATTGCAATGATTTGAAGCTAGCCAGGGGAGAAAGTGTGAGACTCATGTCTAATTATGCTCCACATCCAGGCCAAGTTCCAATCCCAGGACTACCAGTAAGTAGGAATTTTACTTCCAAATAGACCTCAACTTTAGTGTAACTGAATGAGATGTTCCCTTAAGTGTTATTGATTTTTGCCAGTCGTGGGGCTCGAACTCAGGGCCTAGGAACTGTCTGAGCCTCTTTTGCTCAAGGTTAGCACTCTAGTACTTGAGCCAGTGCCACTTCCGGCTTTTTATGTGGTACTGATGAACTGAACCCAGGGCTGCATACATGCTAGCCAGCACTCTAAGCCATTCCCTGTCCCATTAAGGACAATTTCTACTCGTGAAAAACTCAGGGATGTAGTTCATTGAATACCTAACCTGTGAAAGACCATGGGTTTAATTCCCTGAACTGTAGGGAAGGGAAGCTTGTTTTGGGTTAAAATCGCTTCATTATCTTGTTTTCCCCACAAATTTGTTCTTTGGTCCATTTTCATAACTCTTCCTCAATCCATTCTCAGAATGCTTAAGCAATATTCCTAAGCAGCTAGGGGCCTAGAAATGTGCCTGCAGTGGTTCTTGAAAATGCCGTGTGCTAACCCTAACACATAGAGGGATCTATTATTGCCTCTGAACGCTTTATCTGATGTGAATGCTGGTACTGGGACTTGAACTCAGGGACTTGGATACTGTCCTTTAGCTTTTCCACTCAAGGCTGGTGCTTTCCCACTTAACCCACAGCTTCATAAAGGGTCTTAGGAACTTCACTGGCAGCTGGCTTTCAATCTCAATCTCCAGCTTCCTGAGTAGGTAGTAGTAGCAACCAGGGCTTGGCTTCTAAATGCCTTCAATAGGATTAAGGGAACATAACCTGTCTATGCCACATACAATTTAAAATGGTGTACTTATGATCGAAGACTTCAGTTTCCCAAGGTAGTTCTTTCAAAAACTTTTTTACATAGTTCAAATCTGCACTTCAACCACAATGAAGACAAAACAGTGCAGACAAAGAGGTCTAACCCCAAACAGAAACAACACATTATCTTATCATAATCCTACTAAATCAAAAGACAGTACTTTTCCCTCTATTGTACCAACTTGTAAAATTATGTCCCTTCATAAAGAACATCTGGAAATGTTCTCTTAATGGAAAATCCTAAGCCTGTAAGGATATACAATGAACAATAAACTAATGACCCACCTTATGCCACTAAATGTTGGAACACTAGGCAAGTTTAAATTCAAAGCTAATGCCTTCTTATTTCCTTAGCACTTATTATAACCACTTTAGATGAAACTATTCATTAATGTGCCCTCTTGTACTATTTGGCTATCTATATCCAGCCTTCAAATGATTCCAATACAATTAAGAATAGCCTCTAGAAAACAAATCTGACTTTTATTTCATTTGGAAAGTAACTCAGAAAATCTCCACTTGCATTTCTAAAACTGTATTGTAAATAAAAGTCAATGAAACTTAAACAATCAGTAAGTCAATTTATTAAAAACGTTTGACTTAGGCATCTGCAATGGTGACCTCAACCTCCACTCCTGGCTCAATACTGATGGAAGTTATCTGCTTGACAATCTCAGAAGGACTGTGTAAGTCAATGAGTCGCTTGTGGATCCTCATCTGGAAGCGATCCCATGTCTTAGAACCTTCACCACAAGGTGTTTTTCTTGTAGTGATTCTCAAAGTCTGCAACAGAAAACCAAAGCCCATGGTTTAATACTTATCCTTAGAGGATACCCAGAAGCTCATTACTTTATAGCTTTATCATTTGACCAATGATTCCCCTTGGCACTATTCCTCTACACGAACAGGCCTTCAGATTACCAGTCATCTACAATCCAAGTCCATTAGCACCCTGAGAGGCGGTGTGGCTGACCTGTGCATCATTGTCACTACTTTTATACAACCAGCCAAATCCCTTGCGGCGGGCACTCACAAGATGCAGTGCCTAGGTCGGTCTCCCTGCCCTCACCTACCTTGGTAGGCATGCGCACCGGTCCTTTCACTTTGAGATTCTTCTCCTTGGCGCCTCGGATCAGGTCAGCACATACTACGGGGGGGGGGGGGGGGTTGGGGGGGGGGGTAGGATGGGATGGGGAGCAGAGGCATCCATTAGTTCGCTGACAATCACTCACCGCAGATTTAGGCCGCCGCCGGCCGGCTCAGAATAGCGTATAGAACCATCACCGTAGATCAGTACGGTAGGCGTCTCCTCATCGCCAGCTACTAACTGGGGGCTGGGTGCCTACGACCCGGTGAGGGCAAGTCTAGAGTGTTCCCCCGCCTGCCACGTGACTGCAACTGGACTGACCCTTCTCCAGCGACTTCACGTTGCGGCTGGTGAGGGTGATGCGAATCCGGTGAATCGCCACCTCTGGCTCCACAGGCGTCTTCCCGGTGTCTTTAAAAGCCTGTTGATGCGCGCAGGCAAGGGGGAATCAAGAACACAGCAATGCACGAGCCTCCGTCGGGCCCCTGCCGGCTCCCGCCATGGGTGCGGGCCTGCCCTGGGCCCGGACGCCCCGCGCCGCCCCGACCCCAGCCTCCGCCCCGGGCGGCGCCGCGCGCCCCGTCCCCGGCCTCACCATGGCTGAGGCGCGGCTTCCTGACCGACTTGTTCCTCGGCGAGAGCGAACAGCGGTGAGTCAGGAGCAGGAGCGGCGGGGGCAGACCTCCACGCGCACAGTCGCGTCTCCCGCAGAAAGAAGGGCTGCAGGCCCGAGCCGCGCTTATGTAGTCCGCTCATATCCGGGCCCTTCGCGTCCCGGAAGAGGAACTGTCCCCGCGCGCTGCCGAGGCAGCCGGGCAAGGCCGAGCAGGGGAACACTCGGAGTTGGCGGAAAGGGCGCGGCTGCGCGCGCCCCCTATTGGCTGGGCGGAGTCACAGCACCACGTGGTAGGTTCTTTACCTTTGGGCGGTGGATGATGGAGTATGCTGGAGCCTGGGAAGGTTCTCCCGTGCGCTGCTCCATAAACGATCACAAAATGCTAACGATCTCACGGATTTTACAATGCAAATTTTGTTTCTCGTGCAAACGAAATGAACTCATTTTTTCCTAAATAGGATATCTTTTCTGAGGTTAACTGACATAGGTCTTGACAAAATAGTTCTTAAGTTAGGTGTTACAGATGTGTGTGCAGATGACAAATAAGGCCTTGTATACGCTAGACAAGAACTCTACCACTAAGCTGCAACCCCAGCTCACGAGACAGACTTCTTTTAAAATTAATAGACAGGAGTTTTTCAGTGCCTGGAACTTTCTATTGTGATAGTTCAACTTCGGCTACCCGGCTGACAGAGGAATCAACATCTACTTCTGGAAAGGACCTGAACTTGACTTCTACTCCCCTTGGGAAATAGGAAAGTGAGGATGAAATGCCAGGCTGGATTTGGGTAAGACTTATCCATTTGGCTAAGACTTAATATTAATACTGAGCATCTGTTTATAATCAAATATACCAACAAAGTATGATGGAACCCCAAGGGTGGTCAACTGCCCCACACTACAGAAGAGAACTCACAATAACCCACATGTGATAAAGAGGATGTGCTTAAAGAACCATCAGAGAGATGGGTTGCAAAACAAGGCAGAAGGAGCCGGGCGTCAGTGGCTCATGCCTGTAACCCTAGCTATTCAGGTGGCTGAGATCTGAGTTTTGCCGTTCAAAGCCAGCCTGGGCAGAAAATTCCGTGAAACTCATCTCCAATAAACCACTAGAAAACCGGAAGTGGCGCTGTGGCTCAAGCAGTAGAGCGCTAGCCTTGAACTGAAGAGCGCAGGGACAGGGCCCAGGCTCAGAGTTCAGGCCCCACGACAAAACAAAACAAAACAAAAAAATGAAAAACAAGGCAGAAGGACGTGGAAATAGCACATATTATTTGACAGCTGAAGCTGAAGTTATTAGTTAATACGTGCAGATCTCATAAGGTAATAGTGCACTCCTCCAATCTGGCTCTTTCCTAAGGCTCTTTCATCTCTTGTCACTTTCTTTTGTCATCCTCTAAGAGAAATTGTACTTGAAACTTTCACCAAGTCTCATTGTATTGACTTACTGACGTGACTATCACTCAACCTGGATAACAACTGATTTCTTTTCCTCTTTCTTTTTCCTTCCTTCTTTCTTTTGCTTCCTTTTCATTCTTTTTCTTTTTTGCAGGTTTGGATTTGGGGTCTCCTGCTCTCACTCTTTCATGCCTTGAGCCACACCTCCACTTCTGGCTTTTTGCTGGAGATAAGAGTCTCAAGGATTTGACTGCCTTGGCTGGCTCTGAACTGTGAACCTTGATCCTCAGACCTCAGCCTCCTGAATCCCTAGGGTTATTGGCACAGACCATCATATATAACTTTCATTTACAATATGTATGTATATGTATATATATATATATATTTGATACCATTGCACAAGTAATTTAACTATTAAGGTTTGGATATTTTCCGATTCAGTTATTTAAAAATGCAATCCACTGAGTGTACATTCTGTATTAGCATTTGTAGCAAAAAATTTGAAAACCTGCTTTCTTCTTTTCTTTCTTTTTTTTTTTTTTTCGGTCATGGGGCTTGAACTCTGGGCCTGGGCGCTGTCCCTCAGCTCTTCAGCTCAAGGCGAGCACTCTACCACTTGAGCTACAGCGCCACTTCCGGTTTCCTGGTGGTTTATTGGAGATAGGAGTCTCAGGGTCTCTCCTGCCCAGGCTGGCTTTGAACCGCGATCCTCAGATCTCAGCTTCCTGAGTAGCTAGGATTACAGGCGTGAGCCACCAGTGCCAGGCTGCTTTCTTATTTTCGTAGAACCAAAATAATACTTCCAGACTCAGGGTTTTAATTTATTTGTAGGGTTATCTGGGACAAATAGACAAAAATGCAATTGTGGGTCTCACTGGAACCATCAACTACCACTGTGTAAGGATGAAAAGTGACTTCATCTTCAGACAAGCACACAGCTGCATTTGTTTTTCACCAAGGCTCAAAGGACACCCAGAAATGGAGTGAAGGACTGCTTGAGAAGTACTCTTTCTTACTTTTTGTTTTGTTTTGTTTTGATGTGTGTGTGTGTGTGTGTGTACTACAGCTGGGTCTCAAACTCTTACTTGACTCTTTTGTTCAAGGCTGTCACTCTACCTCTCCACTTCTGGCTTTTTGTTGGTTAATTGAAGATAAGAGTCTCATGGACTTTGCCAGGTCTGACTTCAAACCATGATTCTCAGATCTTAGCCTCCTGATTAGCGAGGGTTATCAGCTACTGGAGTCTAGCTCTCTGTTGATTTTTGTTGTTTTTTTAATCCTTTATTTACTATTGAAATTTTAAACAGATAATCTTGGTTTTAGTCTGTGCACTTCCATGGTCTCTTTATCAAATGAAGCAGTAGCAGGTGGGGAAGCAAAACCAAGAGCCAGGCAAGGGAAGGCCTGAATCAGTCTTCATCTGAACTACATCTCCCCACACTGAGATTACCACAGGCAACTTGGGCTTCTTGTTGGGGCCTATAGGAACATTCTCAATCTTTCTCATCGCTAGAAGTCCATCAATGATTTTGCCGAAACACTACATGCTTCCCATCCAGCCAATCACAGTTACAGCAGGAGATAAAGAACTGACCGCCATTTTTACTGGGACCCCTGTTTGCCATAGAAAGTAGGCCTGGAGCCTAAGTCTAAGTGTAAAATTTTCATCTGCAAATGGCCTCTGGTAAATGCTGGCAACTCCTGTACCATCTCCATTAACAAAATTTCCACCCTGAATCAGGAAACCCTTTATGACCATGTGGAAAGTACTCCCTTTGTATCCTATTGGAACCCCGTCTTTTCTGAATTCTTCAGTGCAGAACTGCCTAAAGTTCTCGGTTGTCTGAAGCACAACATCTGCAAACAGCTCAATCTTCATGTGTCCAACCTCCTGACCACTAATGCTAACATCAAATAACATGATGGGGTTGATGGGGCTTACATTTGCCACCATCATGGCTCCAACCCGGAAGCAGCGATTTTTATTGTTTTGGTAGAGGGACTTCCTAAGTAATCAGGCTTGCTTCAAACACCTGATCCTTCTTTCTCAACCTCCTAAGTGCTGGAATTATAGGTATCATGTACTGGAATTCATTTTCAACAACACATCTGGAATATCTATTCTTAGGCATGCTTTACTCTTGAGGAGATGGTGAACTTTTGGACAATAAAAAAGAATTCAGTATAAAAACAAGCAAAACATGGTCAGTAATATATTGGAAAATGACAGATGTGATGGAATTAAAACAACTGCCTAGGATAATATAAAATAGCTATAATGAGCTAAGCACGGGTGGCTCATATCTGTAATCCTAACTACTCAGGAGGCTGAGATCTGAGGATCTAGGTTTAAAGCTAGCTGGGGCAAGAAAGTCCATGAGATTCCTTTTTTCCCCCTATTGGTTGTGGGGCCTGAACTCTGGGCTTGGGCACTGTCCCCGAGCTCTTCAGTCCAAAGCTAGTGCTCTACCATTTGAGCCACAGTGCCATTTCTGGCTTTTTCTGCATACGTAATGCTGAGGAATCGAACCCAGGGCCTCATGCATGCAAGGTAAGTACTCTACTACTAAGCCACCTTCCCAGCCCTCTTTTTCTTTTTAATTTCATAAGAAACTAAAAAATATGAAATCCATGTTAATTTGAGTTAGTGCTATTTGCATTGGAAGAAGTACTGTGATTTGATTCAACATTTAACCAACAGACTGGTAATTCTCATTGTCTGCAAGTGAATAGTTTTCTCCCATTTCATTTAATATAGAATATTATATTCTGAGCTACCTTCCCAACCCTCAGGAGATTCTTATATCCAGTTAAGTACCAAAGAGCCAGAAATGGAAATGTAGCTCAAGTGATAGAGTTCTAGCCTTAATGTAAAAAGCTCAGGGACAGTAACCTAGGCCCCGAGTTCAAGCCTCAGGACCAGTACCAAAAACTAAAACAACAACAACAAAAAAACTAATATGAAAAACATCTTCTTTTATAAATGTTGCAAAGCACTGTGAAGGTTCCTATAGAAATTAAAAATAGAGCTGCAGGTGTAGCTTTGTATCCAAGTGTGTATATATGCAAGGTCCTAGATTTAATGCTCACTAATATATACAAGCACATATACATATGTATGTACATTCATACATACATATATACAACCACAATATAGCCTAGAAGCCCTTTTCTGACTATGTATTGAAATCAAAACTTCCTGAAGAAATAACTGCACTCCTTTTTTCGACATAGTATTATGCATCAGAGTCCAAGTGTGGAAACAACCTAAGTGTCTATTTCCAATAAATGGATAAAGAGAAGGTAATTACCTAAGCCAAACACAGAAAGACAAATAATACTGCGTGATCTCATGGATGTGTGGAGTCTAAAAAGATAACAGAAGCAGAATAAAATCATAGTGACCTGGCACAGGGGAGCAAGGGACTGGGGATATTTATGGAAATTTTATTTTATTTTATTTTATTTTTTTGGGTCTGGTCATGGGGCCTGAACTCTGGGCCTGAGCGCTGTCCCTCAGCTCTTCAGCTCAAGGCTAGTGCTCTACCACTTGAGCCACAGTGCCACTTCTGGCTTTTTTGAGTACTGTATTTTATTGGAGATAAGAGCCTCATGGACTTTCCTGCCATGGCTGGCTTCAAACTGTCATCCTCTGCTCTCTGCCTCTGGAGTAGCTAGGATTATAGGCAGGAGTCGCTGGCACCCAGCATTTGTGGAGA